GGGGAAGGGGGAGAAAAAAAAAAAGGAGATGCGGTCAACGATCAAAAAGGGGAGGTAGTAAACATAGGGAATAATTCAAAGGTAAGAGGAAAGGGGAAAGAGGAGCCTCTAGAACAACAATACTTAACGCCTGTCTAAACGTGGAGACGGCCGGGGATGAGGGGGGGGAAGGGAAAAGAAAGGGTCGTGGGGAGGCGGATGATGGCGCGCGCGTCAAACGCACGTAGGGGTCGTCATATAAAAGGGAAGGGTGAGTAGGAATAGAACCGCTGGTCGTAAATAACACATCCGTAAAGAGAAGAGAAGAAAAGAAAAAAGGGGGGGGGAAGGGTCGGGAGATAAAAGCAAAATTATCAATACGACCGGATAGGAAGGAGGAAAGGAAAGGGGGTCGGGGGGATAAAGCGCTTACACAGCTAGTCGCAGTATTAAAATGTACAACGAAGGGGCACGTAAAAAAAAAAAATCGTATGGATAATATCACTAGAAGCGAACGTATCGATCAATATAAGAGGTCCGGCTGTTTTAGGGCACGAGTCCGGGTAGGGGGGTACAGACGGGGAAATAGACGGACGATGATAATAAATACGTGGCAATAATAAAGGACCCTTGCCATTTAATGACGGAATGGTCGCAAACATAGAAGTCGTATGCGCTGTGCATCAACGGAAACGGGCAAAAAAGTGAAGAAAGAAACACAGCGGAATCGTCTCTCTTAGTAGCCCTCAATTTCTCAACGTCCGTAAGGGGACAAAAAAAAAAAAAAAGGAGGGGGGAGGTAAAAGAAAAGAAAAGAGAAAAGAGGAGGAGAGAGAGAGGATAACAAAGGTAACATTGAAGTGCGGGTATAAACAAGCGAGGGAGGAGCAAGGGAGGAGAGGGGGGGAAGGAGAAAAAAAGAAGAAAGTCGTCATAGGAAAAGAGACTGGGTCCGTGAAATAACCCGGACAAAAAGAGAGGTTGTGAGACTCAAGGGTAGAGGGAGAAAGAAGAAAGGGTCGGATAGGAGTACTCCAGCCAAGACGACCTCGGGGAAGTGGCGAAGATCGTCCTCTCAACCTCAATTTTTCAACGTCCGTTCGTCATGTCTTCAATGAGCGTTTGTCATTAAGCTTCCTGACCAAACGTGTTCATTATCTCCCCAACGAACGCTCGTCTCTCAACTCAATTTCTAACGTTCCGTTTCATGTCTTCAATGGCGTTCGTCATTCAGCCTTGTTCCGACGTCCGTGCATTATCTCCTCTCGACGAACGCTCGTCATTCACTCCCACATTTTTAAAAACGTCCGTTCGTTATCTCTCTCGACGAACACTCGTCTTTAGTGTCCTTTACCAGTGAAAACGTTCGTCCTATCCCCAACGAACGCTCGTTCGGCCACTTTTGATTTCTTTTGCTTATTTTTTTTTTTATTATTTTTTTATATATATTATTATTCTCTTATCTATTTTGTTCTATCTATTTATTTTAAGACATGTACTTATCCTGAAAATTATATAATTTTATAGTTAAATAAAGAATTTACAAAAATGAATATTTTTAAAGGTTTAAGCACA